GCTTCACCAACTGACCAGCCGCTCACCGTCAGTTGAGATTTCGCTATTTATGCATCTTACTGACTGATTTTCAAAACTATACAACAGAAAAACGAATTTATAAAGCCATTTCATACGAAGCTGACTGAATTTTCAACTGGCTTCAGTCTTGAGGAAAGAGAAATTACTGCATTTTAAAGCTTCATTTTTTTCAAAGCCATTTTCGTGACCTCGCGACGAAAATATGCAAGTTAAGATTCAGTAAAAGAAAGCTTCTCAACGTACAAAACGAATGTCACCAATAGAAACAATATAAGATGCAAATCCAGAGGCAGAGGGCTCTGGAACACCAGCAATCAAAAAAATTTCGCTGCAACGTTTCGAATTTGCAAGTGAATACCCAGCAGTGCCTACCGGTGAATATTATACAACCATATACAACCATTTTGCACAACTTTTCCTCCTTTTCATTTCACAAAAAAAATGAATAAAGCAACATTTCCCGTCCTCTGTTCGGACGGTATACCATGGCATGATATACCAGCCTGTATCGCACCATCTGTCATGCGCGATTCTTGCGGTATCCGTGATGCGTAGCTGCGTCTCGTGTATGCTGTCGTCTGTCCAGTATTGACATGGCCATCTCGGTATTGAGAGCAAAGTCAACCCTTGTAGTAATTTCATGGAATTCGTTGCATCTATCACTCTATTAATATCTTCAATCCCGCGGAAAGTCACATTTAAATATTTCCATTAGACAGTCAACACCGCAGATAGACCCTTTAGTTACCGAAAATGAAGCCACATATTTAATCGTTTCTGCACAATATACACTAAGTGTAGTCGGATATTCAGCTGCTTATTTTTTGGAATAAAAGTAGGTGTGTGGGGCGGGAGGGGGTGAAGTGAACCGAAATAAGTACTGCAAAGATCAAGTCACTTTAGTCACAAAATCTAGTTTGCCTAAATAGCAATAGATTGCAGGCTGGCAAGATCAATCACCGTTCAAATGCATTGATCTCTTTGCACCTACTATGAGTATGGCAACTATTCAACAAGCACCTTCAACTTATCTGACATTCATCTGTAATCCTGCTGAAATAGCTGCGCAAACGCTGCTATATTCCTTGTTCAGCAGCCTCAGGTTAAGGCAGTTAGTCGGTGGATATAATTTCGAATTACTACCGTACCGCTAGCTACTACATATGAAAAAAGTAGGTCACTATACGAAATAAAAATCAAGCAACTAACCACAGAAAGAATGGCACTGGTGGATGGTACCGAATAAGAGTTCGGCGTCAGATTATGAGTTAGACAAACCGCTGGCACCAAAAATAACGCCTATACGAAAGTCTGAGCGAGACTGATACCACAGCAGTTACACACTTACTATTTCACGACTTTTCATCTAGCTGTTTTAGGCTCGCAACGAACATAAATAAAATAAACATCCATGGCATCCTGAAGAAATGTGGTAAACCGTTAGTAACAGAATGGATTTATTGTATCACATGGTGCATGCTGATCATCTGGAATTGCTGTACTTATAATACAAATGAATTTATAAACACTTACCTTAATAAATTACTCGCTGCTTGTTCTGCTTCATTAGAACCACATTTATCTTCCGACTCGTCGTCTGAGGAGAGGGCATAGTCACAAAGTACTTTCTAAATTGCGAACACATTACATAAGTATAAATATTGTCCTATTATAAAAATAGATTATCAGATGATGTGCAAAGAGTTACCAATGTGTTAGATCATGTCACATGCAATGAAGTGTAAGCAACAAGACAAAAGAACAACACATGTCACAAACAACAAAAAGTCCTTCTTATAACAATGAGGATGAATGATAAAAAATACAACTTACTTCCATTTCAATCGTCAACCAAAAAATGAAGGTATTACGATAAACATTCGGTGTCTAAAGCAAATTTCATTATTTCTGCTCCCATATCAAGTTACTACAGAAATAAAGTGCCGATAAAGAGAATTTGGTTTTAAATAGCAAAAGACAGCAATCACAGGGCAACGGCGTATTTTATAAACATCATTTCAAGGTATGCAGAAATGGAAACGAAAAGCAGCTAACAACTACCCTTTAACGGAAAGATACTCAACATACAGTAGTCGTTTTGAGGGTAAGGAAGTATTATGAATATTGTGCTAACACATCAACCAACGAATACACATTAACCAAACGCTTCAAGTGAATTTCATGTACTGTACAGCTTAACTAATTTGCAGGTCTATTTACGAAAAAATTCGGACTATTGGTAGAAGGAACGTGTTATCTGAAATATACCGTGTGAATAAAATCTCCTCAGAAACAGCATACAGCGTTGACAAAGAAATAGGTTTATTCGAGCCTGCAGCCATAATTTTTAGCCAAGAAAATTATGCCAGAAGTTAAATGATTCAAGCAATAGACTGCATTATCAACAAAGACGAGTACTAGAAACGTTCAAGACCTAAATAATTTTCACGAGGTGCTCTGTAAAAGCGTAAATATTTTTGATCATCGACTGACAGGCAACCGTGTTGAAACGATGTCAGATGACAACGACCGTGAAAACATTTTGTTTGTCCGAATTTGCTATGCCCCCTGCTCATAATCACGATATCTAAGAGTCAAGGCATTTTGGCGCTGAAATAACCAAGAATGAACTTGCATTGCCATCGTTCATCTTCATCTGCTTCTTTTCAAAACTGTTAAAGTTCTTCAGCACAATCGCTTTATGCTGAAAATAATACTCATAACACCTGCAATCCATGTTTTTTTAAAACTCTCAGAGTTAGTACTGCAAATCTCTTTGGAAGTATTGCCCATTTGTTGATAACGACTATTTATTTTTCTGTGGATAAACGGCCATGCTTATCAAATTATTGCAATAATAGATTTTCTGTATAAGAGGAATTGTCCACCGTTAAACAGAAGCAGATATTCTCCCTTTTCGTCTAGCAGTTACTCACTCGATTTTACTACATTCTCTTTCAGAATTCACTTCAGTCTTCGTTACTCCTGTTAGTGTTCTGCAGTTATACGTTGTAAACTTTAGTCCATCATCATTACTTTGATCCATCGCATAGGCATTCTTAGAATCTTCTGCATTATACTTGATGAAGTATTTCCTTCGTCGCGGCTTGGCTAGGTGGCTCGTTGCATAAGAGGTCTGCTTCGAACCCCGAAGACGTCGGATTCCGCCGGAGGGCAGTCATTGTCTTAACCGAGAATTCTCATTGAGAATAGAATTTGTTATAGGTTGCTCAGTTGGTTGTAGCGTCAGACTCAGAACCGAGATGTTCCTGACTTAAGCCCGGTCATGGTCATTCACCTTTCTTCTTTGCGATGTTGACAAATGAGCACCACTGTAAATAAGAGAAGGATACCACTCAGAAACATTGCATGACTAACCATGCTTGTCACACAAGTGTTGCTGACTCCATTTTTGCAATGAGGTACTCCTGGCTGACGATGGCACAGAATCAGCACCGCGCTGTAAATTCCATGAAAATAAGGGCACCAGAATAGCCCCATCGTAGACATGTAAGGAACGACTACTTTTCACGGATACAATCTTTTTCCTTCGTCATCGACACTCTGTATCAAAGAAATGGCTTCGGAATTTACTGCAAACCACTAAGCCATTACTATTATTTAAAAATAATCGCTTTCTTCGAATCGGCTTCATGCAAAACTTTTTGGAGTCGAACTCCGCCATGGCCGGTCCCAAGCCCGGATGAAACTCCGCCATGGCCGGTCCCAAGTCCGGATGAGAAAGGAGGAGGGTTGGAGACCGTGGCAAGTCTCCGT